TTCTAAAAATTATTTGTTTTAATTAGTTACACATGACAGTACAATGATCTTGTCATATCACACAATTGAAACAAATGGGGTATAATTACTCCTTTTTCTGAGTGTACAGGTTGCTGAATCACATTGGTTGTACAGTCACGTATATACATACAGCAATAGTAGTGTCTATTTTATTGTGCTGTCCTTCCGGCTATATTTTTTAGACCAGTATTAGGTTCACAGCAAGTTGAGTAGAAGGCACAGAGATTTTCAAAGTACCTGCTGCCCCCATTCATGCATAGCCTGCCTCATCAATATCTCCATCACAGTGGTACATATTTGATCAATATACATTGACACATCACTATCACCCAGTCTACTATGTACATTATGACTCAGGCTTTGGACAAATGTGCCTAAGGACATATATCCACCATTATAGTATCCAATGGTTGTCAGTGGATTTTTTTATTTTTTCTATCCTCCTTTTATGTGATTACTGAGTATGATTATCTGAGCTAATCCATTTGTCTCCCTCGGTCTTGCTCTAGCTTTTCCTGGCAACATTTGTTTTGTTTAGTTACCTATATCTAGCCTTTTCTACCGGAGATGGGGAGAAAGATACAAATGATACTTTATAAATAAGGGACTTGCTTATTAAAACTGTAGAATAACCTTTTAAATCAGTACCCTGTGTGCAATAAAATACAATGAAGCATTTTGTATCTCTTGTTATCCTTAGTTTGTATTACGACTTCCTTTTGCACACTTTATATTAATTGTTCTTCTTTATAGTATTCATCATGGACTCATAGCCTTCCACAGACTTAAATTCCTAGTAAAAACAAATGTTTCAAACCCATCTGTTTTTTTTCTCCAGCAAGATATAAAATCAGATAGAAAAATTCTCTTTTAATGAACAATAGAATTGGAAAAACCACATCTGGGTTTGGGGTTCATATTAAAGAGTTCTATATGTGTATAAGCAGTTGGCTTCCAGATCACCTTAGTGATGGAGCTGGAAAGATTCTTTGTTTAAGGATATAACTTCATATGGTTATTTCCACTTTAATGCTAAAACTAATAAATTCCTTTTCTAAATTTGTTTGCATCTAAATTTTTAATGTTTATTTGATATACAGCATAACAACTTAAACTTCTAACTCCTTTCTCAGACTGTAATCATATCACTTCTCTCTAGAATTCTCCACATGTCTATTTGTCTACCATTTCATAATCATTCTTTTGATCTGTGTCTATTGAGAATTATAATGTCTGTTTCACTGGGTTGTTTGATGGACTCAATGAGATCATGTAAATTTCATTTTTTGTAAATTACATTTTTTTTTATCTAGCATACTCATGCATAAAACTAGCCACATGGCTTTCAAAAGTGTAAAAATAGGAAGACATATTCTGGTTGTAGTGGAATATTTTTAGATCTACTAATAGCCAGTCCTATATGTAATCATGTATCTCATTATTCATATGTATATATTAGGCCATAAATACATACTGAGAAATGAAACTTGGATTGTTGAAATATACTCAGTAGCACATTAAAAAAAAAAAAAAAAACAAGTAACAAGTTCTGTGTTCTTAGGCCAGGTGGACAAAAGTTATTTTCAGTCTTAACCATCTGTGATTTTAAGGTTGCAGATTTGCATCTGTTTCAAGAGAAAAATATTTCATAGTTGAAAAGTATATTTTAAGAAAGTGACCACAAGGGAAATGAGGAGAATAGATAAAACTCTAGAAAATCTCCAGGTGCTTCTTATAAAGATTGGAGAAGCCTTATCTAGATGTACAGATAACAATGAGATAACCTATCAAAACTTTGTTTAGCCTGAATTTTACTTGAAAATTTTTTTAACTCTATGCTTTAAAAAGATGCACAATAAATGTAATATACCACATTAAAATAGTGAAGGAAAAAAACTACATCCTTATCTCATTGATGCAGCAGTTGACAAATTGACACACACTTTTATGATAAAACTGTTTAACAAACCAGGAATAGAAAGAAAGTACAACATAATTAAGGTCATATACGAAAATCCAACAACTAATAACATACTTAATGGCAAGAGACTGAAAACTTTTCCTCTAAGATCAGAAACAAGCATGCCAAATTTTGCTACTTCTATTTAACATAGTACCAGAAGTCCTAATCACAGGAATTAGGCAAGAAAAAGAAATAGAAAGCATTCAAATTGGAAAAGAGGTAAACTTATCTCTGTTCAGATTATATGATCTCTTATGCAGGAAACCCTAGAGATTACAAGTGTGCATGTCACACACACACACACACACACACACACACACACACACACACATATATATATATATATAAATAACAGACTTATTAAAAAAAAAGCTCAGCAAAGTTGTTCAGTAATCTACACACAAAACAGTTGGGTTTCTAGGTACTGACAATTAACAATATGAAAAGGAAATTTAAAAGACTTTTATTTCCAAAAGCATCAAAAATACTTAAGAGTAAACTTAATCAAGGAGGTGAAAGACTCATACACTAAAAACTATAATACATTGCTGGAAGTAATCAAGGAGTTCACAAATACATGGAAAGACACCTATGTTCAAGGATTGGAAGACTTAGTATTGTTAAGATGTCTGTACTACCTAAAGTGATTTACATATTCAATGCTAACAATATTGAAATCCCAATAATGCTTTCTGTAGAAATAGAAAAATTTCTCCTAAAATCAATATGGAATCTCATGGGATACTGAATAGTCAAAATAGTCAAAAGAACAAAGTTAAAAGTCTTATGCTTCCAGTTTTCAAAACTTATTGCAAAATATCAATAATTAAAATAGTGTGGAACTGGCATAAGTCAGATATGTAGCTCAATCAAACAGAACAGAATAAAGATCCCAGATATAAACCTTCATATATATGGTCAAATGATATCCAGCAAAGGTGCCAAGACCATTCATGTGTTTTTTTCTACACATAGTGTTTGGAAAATTACATATCTATATGCAAAAGAATTAGGTTGGCTCCTCGTACAATATACAAAAATTAAATCAGAATGGATTAAAGAACTCTAAACACTAGTTAAAACTATAAAATTCCTAGAAGAAAATAGTGGGAAATCTCCAGTACATTAAATTTGACAATGATTTCTTGGATATGACACTAAAAGCACAGACAACAACAACAACAAAATTAGACTACATAAAATTTTTAATTTTTAGCACATCAAAGAGCAACTATAACAAAGTAAAAAAGCAACCCATAGAATGGGAGAAAATGTTTGCAAACCACATATCAGATAAAGGTTAATATTGAGAATAAATAAAGAATACCTACATCTCAACAATTAACATCAAACAACCCAATTTAAAGAAGCAATAAATATCAAATAGATATTCCTCCAAAAAAGATATGCAAATGACCAATAAATACATGAAAAGACATTCAACATAATTCAGGAAATGCAAATCAAAACCAAAATAAGATAATGTCTCATACCCTTTAGGTTGTAAGGCTATCATCTTAAAAAGAAGAAATTTTTTAAAACACAGAAAATAAGTGTTGGCAAGAATGTGGAGAAGTTAGAACTCTGTTGGTTGTTGGTGAGAATGTAAAATTGCACAACTGCCAAGGAAAGCAGTACAGCACTTCCTTAAAAAACCAAAACCAGAATTGCTATATGTTCCAGCAAGTCTGCTTCTGGGTATGTACTCAAAAGAATTGAAATCATGGACTTGAACAAATATTTGTACACTTCATGTTCATAGTAGTATTATTCACAATAGCTAAAAGATAGGAGCAATATACTTATCCATTGATGAATGAATGCATAAACAATATGTGGGATTGTGTGCAGAAATCCAAACAATTTGAAAAGGCCAAATTAATTCTGGATAAATTTGGAGAACTATTTGATCAGGACTTCTTAAGCTGGGGTTTAGGAAAGACTTAAGATCCCTGCAATTCGATGCACATTTAAACGTACAGATATAATTTTTTCCCCTAGAGTGCATGGTTTAATTCAGTTTCTCAAAGGATCAAGACATTGTATTGTTTGGTGATGCTTGAAAGCATTGTGACATTTTGCTTTGACTAACATGTAATAACTAAGCTGACAACAGAACTGAGAAATCAGGTGAGAAAGAAAAGATGAAAGCAGACCCAAGGTAAGACAAACTAACATGGAATCCCTTGGGTCCCTTACTGATGTTTAGTCCTATTCTCAAAGTTCTGCTGCTTTTGGAAATGCAAACACATACCCTGCCTTCATACTAAGCCCATGTGTATGTGATTATCATACATTCACTGGGAAAAGATCCCCATTGTTTTGGTTTTTATTTCATTTTTCCTGATTATAATTAGTTTGGGCTTATTATTTAGGGATTATAAAATGGATTTTTCACATTGCTGCTATATAAAAAGGAAGCACCCAACTCTTAATCATGTAGATATATTGATAATAGTTTGGAGGTCTTTGGTAATGGTTTTCAAATTGTCTTTGGATAAGACTATAACAAGGTGTTTTAGGGGGCTGGGATTGTGGCTCGGTGGTAGAGCACTCATCTAGCACATGTGAGGCCGATTTTGATCCTCAGCACCACATAAAAATAAATAAATAAAATAAAGGTGTTTTAGGAATTCACAAGAAGGAAAGAAGAGGCCAATCTGGGTCTCTCCAGATTCCAAATCACACTCAAACGAAGTTTTGCCTAACTTGTCTTACACACACACACACACACACACACACACACACACACACACACACTTTCCTCTAAAACATGAAAACTTCTGAATTCTATAAACTCCTCTAACCATCAGATTTGTATTAGTCAGTAGATACCAGATTATGGTGTAGTAACGAGCAGCTTCCCCCAAGTCTTAGCTCTTCAACCCAAATGGAATTTACATGTCCAAAAAAGTTTTCAAGGGTCTCTTTTCATTGTAGTCACTCAAGAAATCAGGCTGATGGAAAATCCATTTGGACAGAACAGGTAAGCATAAATGCTAAATTATATACTCACATTTTAAAGTTTCTCCACACATCATTTTTAATAGATGCAAGTCATCTGTCCACATCTACCATCAGTCAGGAGTGAAATCCCATGGCCTGACAGGAAAGAAATGAGAATAGAATATTCATGATGACTTTAATAACCATTCTAATATTTATTTAAGCTATAATCACAGAGAAATGTTCCATAAAAACATTAATAGGAGGATACTTAAGGTCCTATTTGGTATTATCTAGTCTCAAAACATGAGGAAAGTCTATAGAGGAAGTTTCCTACAAAATAGTGTTTTGATTCTCTTTCTTTGAAGAAGAGAGGTTAAGTTAAATTAATATTTAGTATTCAGGCAATGAGTATATTCCACATCAGTGATAGCTTTGCACTAGTCGGTATAACCTAGTCAGAAGTCTACTCTGTATTGGTCAATTTGTTTCCTTGAGTTAGATAAAGCAGCTGAGCCACAATAGACTCATCCTTTTACCTGGTATTCCTCTGGATGGCTTGGGGGGGGGGGAAGTAAGCCAAGGAAAGGACAAAATCTGGAGCTAAGGGAGGGAGGGGCCAGGAAGAAGCATCTACTCCAGTAATAGACAGGAGTTGGGGGCGGGGTGTGAAAAGCAGCAAAAGTCTGAAGCCATAGCCTCTGGAACTAATGTGTTACACCCATCATGTTCATGTTTCCCTGAGATCAATTCTCTGTTTTTCTCATACAGGAAAAATTTTGACAGATCCTAAGTCCAGTCATGGAATATGAGAGGGGATTAGTACCTCACTATGGTAAACCAGATTCCGAAGAACAGAGAAACTCATCCACTAAGAATCTTATCATGGAGCTAAAGTGGGAGCCAAGTAATAGCTCCCACCTTTTTTTTAGTGCTTTGTGTGTGGACAACATAATTTGCTAGGAGTATGGCATGTTGGGTGGTCTTGGGAGTACTTAAAGAGGTTAACAACCATTCAGTGGGCTCTAGCACTTAAACATGGTAGATGGAATACACGTAGTAGCCACTGCTCCTTCCAACAGTCCTTAGCTGTGGCTCCCTGTCCCCTTCCCCACTAAAATATTATATTGTAGACTGCATTTCTACAACTTGATTGACTCAGCTTCTCATAAAGACAGTTCATTAGAATACACATGTGTCGTCTACTTCTTCCTGAAATCCTTTCCTTCACTCTTTTGACTGTAAAGACATTTGCAAAACAAAAGGCAGAAACTCAGGACAACAAAGAAAAGGAGAGGAGATAACAGGAACAGAATTTCTGCAGCTGGTGAGCAGATGGATATGCTAATTGATTTAGCAGGCCCAAGAAAGTAGGAACCTAAATCAGCAATGGAAAAAGCTAAGGAAAACCCGGTATTATGAGACCCCCAAAGGCTCAGGAATTGATTGGTCCAGGTACTGCAGCAAAAAGTGCAAATGTGGAGCTAATGATAGAAGGGTTAGTGGAATGTTTATTTAAGAAATAGTTAAAACCCCAGATCCTCTGAGCACTCAGGATCTAATGTTCACTAAGCCCAGAACAAAAAACGGATATTTATTCTTCAGAAAGGGAAAGAGAACCTCAAGTCTGGTAGATTTAGAGCAGCATTTCTCAACCCAGGGTGATTTTTCCCTTACAAGGGACATTTAACAATGTCTGGAGACATTTTTGGTTGTCCCAGTCAGACGAATAGATGTTACTGGCACCTGGTGAATAAGAGACCAAGGATGCTAAGCTTCCTACAATGCACAGCAGAGCCACCCAAAATGAAGAATCATTCTGCCCAAAATGTGTTTAGTGCCAAGGCTGTGAATCTCCAGGTTACAGCAAGGATTTCATGTTAAAAAGAATGGAATTAATAACTTTCTCTCTTTTAGATGCTGAGATGCCAACACTGTAACTTTGGCCACCTTCTCACACTCACAATGCTGGGACCTCAGCTTGCTCATGACAAATAGGAGTACAGGGGTCCTCTCAGAAAATCTTACTAGCATAGAGAAAAATATCTAAAGAGACTGACATCATAAGTTTCCCAATAAAACAAGTATTATCTCTCTAGAAGGAAGCCCACAGAAAACTCTACCATGTGCTTAGAGCTTCCTATCAGTCTGTCCTTAACAAGCAGTTAAGGATATCCAAACATTGGAGGGAAGAGGCATGCAATGTAAAGGACAGCATTAAAAAAACAGTTTGGGGGAAAAGGAGGTTATGTAAGGAAAAGAAAAGTTCAAAGATGTTAATATCCTTGGAGAAATAACAGATGCTATTGTGTGGATGAAACAGGACAGATGCTACGAAAAGGAACACTTGGCAAATAAAATAACAGTGATTAGAAATTAAAAATAAAATAGCAGATATGAAAGACTGGACATGTTGGAAGGAAACATGAGACAAATCTGCCATGAAATAAATGTAAAAGAGAAAGTCAAGGAAAATGGAGGAAACATTAAAAGGGTGGTCCCAAACATAAAATTCAAAATATAGAAATGGCAAAGCAGAGACAATTGAAAATGGGCAGTTAGAAATTATTGGGTAAATAATCCAAGAAAATTCTCTAGAAATTAGAAATGTGATTTTCCAATTTGAAAGGCTTCCCCACAATATATCAGGTACAAAGGGAACAATATTTGAGAGAACAGAAGCATACCATGATATCTCATCATGAAATGTGAGACCAGTAAGCACCAAAAGATGGGCAAAGTATTCAGCTGGAGGAGAAAGAGTGATTTCACTCAAAGGATCAGAAACCAGAATGATATTGAATTTACCAATAGCAACACTCAAAATAAAAGAAAGTAAAACAATGTCTTCTAATTTCTGAAGGAAATGACATACAGCATGGAATTCCATAGAATGATAAAGCTATCAATAATGGGCAAAGACAGCTTCTGCCAGGCAGTGTCTTGAAATACCTGCATTCCATGCATGGTTTCTCAGGAATCCCCAAGGGATGCACTTCACCTAACAGGGTGTAAAAAAGAAGGAGAACACAGAGGAAACAGGAGAGCCAAGGCAAGGGGTGGAGGGAATCCCAAGGTATTCAGAAAGGGAGACATGAGGAAGTACCAACTCTGGATAGATTTCTCCAAAGGATGAAGCAGATAGAATTCCTGATGTGTTTGAATATAACACAAAGAAAGATATGCAACAAGGGTAGTATTTGAGAACATATCATATGTATGTGAAAAGAACTAAGCTAACCAGAAAAAAAAATGACCATTTCTATCTCCAGAGAGAACAAACAGCTAAGCCAGCATTGCCATCTCTGTATCATGCAAAGTTAGAATCACGATCTGACCACAGTTCCAGAATGAGGCCATTCCAGGATGGAGGATAGGGCATGTATGTATGAATCGGGGGACAGTGAGGCAGTGACATGAAGAGAGCTGTTATTATCAGTCTCTGAAGTGGAAAGCTAACGGATAATGCACAAAGTGGAAAATTAAGAAATAGTGGTATAAGTATGCTACCTAGAGGCATGAAGGTGACTTTCAAAAGAGTTGAGGGAGTAGAAAATAAAAGCTGGGGAGAGATGAGAGGAGAGTTCTGCTTTTCAACCAAACCTGTGGAAATATGTAACTTTTTAAAATTACACAAAACTGGTGGAAAAATAATAGATACCTTCCAAAAGAAAGGTAGTTGAGTGTGTATTTTGTATCAGACCCTAAGTTATTTGGGGAACCAAATAATTAATAATATATAGTTCTTAAGCTTAAGAAATGCACATCCCAAAGGAGGTAAGATGCAAATAAACAGCCACAGTGTGAAGAATCAAAAAAAAAAAATGGAGTAACTACTTCCTCTTCCCTCACTGGGGTAGTAAGGGTAGGGCTAGCCTAACAGCTGCATTGGAAAAGGCATATTTTAGCAGGAAGGATGAGTTATAGTTTCTCGAGTTGGGACAAAGATCAAGTGAAGGGTATGTAGATTGGGGAGGGCTACACAGGCTGAAGAGCACTCAAATTCGGTCATGAGATGGATGTCCTTTCCCTTCAACATTACCAACATTCACCATCTCAAGTTTATGACTAACATGGACTGTCACCCAGAATTATTCAGTAAGGTGATTTAAACTGAATTTATGGGCTTAGGACTGAGTTGGTGGTTCTTAAACTGGCCATCAGGAAACCAAGAAATAAATAGCTGGGGGTATAACTCAGTGGTCAAGCACATGCTTAGCATGCGCAAGGCCCTGGGTTCAATCCACAGCACTAAAAAAAGAAGAGGAGGAGGAGGATAAGGGGAAGAGGAAGAAGAAGAGGAAGAGGAAAAAAGAAGAAAGAGGAGGAGGAGAAAGAGGAGAAGAAGGAAGAGAACAAGAGAAAAATAAATGAAAAAAAGAAATAAATGCTGGAAGAGAAATCAACAAATTTCTAAGTCTCAACCTTGACCTCTGCAGATCCAAGATAAAGGTGGGTCATGCTCTTGCCTGATTTATTTTGATACATAGAAGATTCCAATTCTAAGGCCCTGCTCATCCCAGAATCAACACAAATACATTTACCTAACCTACATAGAGACATTTCTTCATGAAGTGGTTTTTGGATTTTTTTGGTAGTTTTTCCTGAAATCACATGTTTCCCTGAAAATCAAATTCAGTTGATTTTTTTCTTTTCACGTGACATAGGTTACACATTCCAAGTAGGAGAACTTGCCAAAATTTGCTCTCTTTTTCTAGGTTGATCCTAAAGTTACAGATAATGGAAAATGGAAGATAACAAAAGCTAAAAACAGAGAAAGAGTCTTCCTTTCTATATTTTGTCAAAATAAGTATGTGTTTTACTTTGTATTCTAAAAGTAGCATAAACATTGGAATGAATCTCCAATACTACAGAAGAGCATGAAATAGGTAGAAATAGAGAAGTGCCAATAAACCACCTCAGAGACCAACAACAACAGGAAACATGATATATGGTTTCAGATACTTCTATGAGCATGTGAGTATATTTTAAAAACAAACCTGAAAGAATGTAATGTATTCTGTTCAGATACCTGTTTGTTTTTGGTTTTTCCAGAGCAAACATTTTTCTCCATCAATTCAATCCTGAGTTTTTGACACAGAAAATATGTAAAATATACATGAAAAAATAAAATATGTATTTTCTTAAGTGATAAA